CGGCCCGTAGAGGAGTGGCTGCAGGAAAAAGGTAACCGTCATTAAAACTTTCATTTTAAAATCATTTGATCCTAAACCCTCATTTTTAAAGCCTGCAAATAAATGTTCCTTAAATGATAATCGCCTGCTGCATAAATGACTGTTTTAATTTTCATTATAATTTGTGTCAGCTTCCACCTGCCATATGTTGATAAATCATGCTATAATACATTGCCATTAAAATACAGTTAAAGGGACTAACTTCTAGCCTGCTATCAGCATGACAAACACAAAACAAGAAATTCCAGGAGCCTCTAAAACAGAAAGGTATTATGGCAATTTAACCACTGCATGACATTATTTACTAATTTGCTCTAAATTACCTCTTACACCAAAGCTTTCTAAAGAAATTTCAAAAGTAGTTTTTAAACTTACATCTTCAGGCTGTTTTGGCTTGTAGCATGGTTAACAGAACAAAACCAAAACCATAGATTGACTCTTGTAACTTAAACTGCTTAAAACAAATATTATAAGGGGAGCAATTTTTTTTTTTTAACATTTGTTCTTAAAGATGAATTTTGCCTTTAAAACCTACAGAGGCGAAATTATTTTATAAGAGATTAATTGTGTCCTAGTTGCTGACTGAAACTAAAAACAAACTTATTTTACACTTTGGTTGTGTGGATACCCTTGTGTATTTGATGTTTTATGCAACAAAAGTGTAAGTAGTTAACATAATGAGTTGGAAAAGAAAAGGTTCATGAAAGGCAAAACAGCAGTTTCTGATTTCCTGGAGACAAGAACCACTGTTAATAAAAGAGGGCAGCGGTTATAACTGATGTTAGAATTTTCCTGTGTAGCTTCAAGCTGTTAAGAAATAAACCGTTGTATTTCAATGAAAAAAAAAATCTAAGCAGATATTTACTCTCTGTGTTGTTATTGAGACAATATAAACTACTCTTGTCTCAACACGTTAAGGGAGTTGTTAACATTGTAGAGATCTCATTGAGTTATAGATAAGTAACCAGGTATATTACTTAGTATATGACTTAAAGAACGAAGGACAACTACAGTTTTAAGTTGGAGGAAAACATTCTGACCTTTAAACATGGAAAATCCTCACGGAGTCTTAACTGTTTGCCCTGTTTTTAATGTATGTGGTCTAATTAAAAATAAGAATAACTCTAAAAAGCAAATAATTTTGTTTAGTAATCATCAGCTCATAAAGTCCCTTTAACATTAAAGACAATGACTGCCTCACTTTTAAACAGGAAAAAGCAAATTAGATGCATGTCTGAGTCTCATGTGCCTGAGAATTTTTTTTGTTTCTTTCAGTTTTATGTTAATAATATTTTATTTTACTCCATTGCCTTTTAAGTCTAAGTTTAATAGCATGCCAGGCATTTTCATTTGTATAAATCATTATAAAGTTATTAGTAGGCTTTTAGTTTTTCTTACAATAGAGTCGTTATCCGTTGGCTTTCACATGAAAGGATGCTTTCAAATACACAAGATGAGGGGCTGGGATGTGGGGAGGGATGGTTGAGGTGGGACGGAAGAAGATATCCTAGTTTCTTAATTAAATATATGTATGATTATATATGCATATAATATTGAAAAGAATTATTTCCAACCCGTGAGTTTCTCTTCTACAGTATATTGTAATTTGGGTGAGTAACATCTATTCATTCTATTGTCTTACCTCTTCCTCTGCCTAGCTAACCTTCCCTTCAAAAGAAATACAAAATATATACCAAAGACTTGTAAAGACAGTGAATATAAAGGGTAAAGTGAGCTGCATTTGGAAGTACTTGGAATGCCTCTTTGGAGTTTTTTCTGTCATTGGGGAGGAGAGCTGGGCCATAGCATTCCCAAGTCTCTTTTCTGGCTCTGTCTACTATTGATTAACTTTCTGACCTTAGACAATCCACTTAACCTCTCTGTATCTCAGATTTCCCATCTGAGGACAGGAAAAATAATACTGCCTATTCCCCAAGGGTGTTCTGAGGTTTAATTAATTAGTCTTTGTGCAACACTGACTGGAGACATGCAAAGATTTAATTTAAGCAGTATGTGAACTTGATGTCCAAATGAGGTAATAATTAATGACTTCCAAGACGATGGGCATCTAAAACAGAAAGTCACCTGCTGCAATTCCTGTACTGGTGTTGTAACCAAACTTTGTGTTACTTAAGATAAAATAGTTCTCAGAGTAGGATATACATACATAAATATGCGTACGTGTATAGATGTGTGTGTGTGTGTGTGTGTGTGTGTGTGTGTATATATATATATATATATAATGGTCAGTTATTATAAAAATCTCATGGACCGTAAGCCATGAATGAAAACAATGAGAATAGTGAGATCTGGCATTGATTTTGGGAAATCTTGAGCAAATGATAAAAAGAAACTCTCTAGTCAGTTCTCCACATTATTCATAGGGAATGGACAGTGATATTTCTGTTACACACTAACCCCTGTTTATCTGAGAGAGAAATTCATCAGAGGAAGGGATGGCAGGAGACTCAGAGTGCTCTACTGTTCCTTTTACTGGTTGCTAGCTTTGGCATTAACCCTCTGATCCAAGGTACAGGGTCTAGAAGAGGGTTTCACCACAGCGGAAAAGCAGATCTAGACAGAAGCACACCATGAAGCAAGCAAAGAGAAAAACAAATACTTCCTATGACAAGGTGAAAAATTGAAACATGACAACCCTCTTTACTGTCTCACTCCACCAGTGTCTTCTTCTCAGAAGCGTTTAGTCAGATCTCTCTGGGAAAGTAGCTGTAGTCAGGAGCAGAGGGGCAGTTTAATCTTGGTAACCCAGGAAACCTGCCTTGCCTTTCCTGATGCTTGGGTCAGTCTTGAACAGGCAAAGAGCACTTTGTGGAGTGAACAATGGCAACTGGAATGAAGGAGATTCATCATCTCTAGCCATTGTGACTCAGCTTTGCATTTCAGTTTGCTCTGACCCTCTTTTTATTTGTAAGAGTTGGCATAATAACACCACTGGAGAAATAAGATGAGAACTATTATAGAGGTTATCATTGTGCAGTATTTTCAAGAACATTAGAATGTAAGATTTTCTACCTGTAATCGAGTATAACTTATCACCAGTGCTGAACTATATACAAAATAGATGAATAAATATTATGATTGGTCAGCAGTTGTGCGCCTGGAAGGTATCTCTTGGCATAAAGGCTGTCTAATGTAAGATACTGACTTTTTATCCTAGAAATCTCCTATTAGGCAGCTGCTTCTCATTTATTATGTTAAGCTGCTTCCAATGCCTCTATGGGGTTGACGGAGAATTTATTTTCTCCTTCCATCATTTTATTTATTTTGTAGTAAGCTCAGGGCTTCCAGGGGGGAAAAAAAAAAAAAAAAAAAAACTAGTTATCAAAAATAAACAGTAAAAAGGTATGAACTCCAGCACATTACTTCGTGTTATTGTGCACTGAACTTTCAGCTGCATCTTGTGTGAAAAGTACAGAGTACAAAATACAATTGTGCATATGTACAGCACACTGAATGAATTGCTGAGAAAATGATGAAAATCTTTTTGATTGAACCCTTGTAATCTGGGTAATTCTGTACTCATTAAGGCCAGCAGATCCCATTTTCAGGTTCTGGATATTTTTATAAAGTATAGATCATTTCCAACATAACAAAATTCTCTGGCCAATTCACCATACTGCAGTGTTCAAAGCTTCCAAAGGGATATCATTCTTGACTAATAGGCACTATGAGTCGTTCAATGAGCAAAATTGACTCTCATGTGAGGAGTATCCTCTGAGCAGATGAGCATTCCCTTCTCTGCCACTTCCATTTCTTTCATTGTCATACATTGAGAAGGTATTTCACATTATACACCAGGAATTCAAGGATAGGTCAAAATAGTGTAGCCTTGAAGACCATGTAATAGTGGTAGATTTTTAAAGCCCAAACATCACAGGGTCTCTCTATTCATATTAGAAATTATAAAACGAAAACCTGTTATTAAAAACACTGTCCTTTTTATTAAGTAGGCAAAAATAACAAAATTGTTTCTAGTTATTTCTCGCTAAAGTACTTCAGGTGATTAGATTGAGTGGAGCACTGTTTGATCACTAAGTGGAAAAAATTAGGAAGATGTATATTTAACTCCCTTAATAAGCCTTTTTTTCCTTTCTTCATATAAAAAAGCAAAATGAAGTAATCTGGAGAAATAACAGTAAAGAAGGCCTTAGCATGTTGCTGTCCTGATAAATTGCAATAAGTTTTAAAGAGCTCTTTGCATTTGCTCGGGAAAAATCTCGCACTTGAGGGAGATTTTTATAAATTGAAATAGTTGAGGATAATTTGGGTTTCATTCTTCTAAACTCTATTCTGGTATGGTTTCATTCTGATACTTTTCAGAGAAGTATAAATGGTGTCAAAGTGGGAACTCGAAATAGTTAACTACTGACATCCTTAACCCCATTAACATACCTCTGTATCATTTTAAGGAGTTTTATGTGTTGCTTTCTTCATTAATACCCATCCACTATTAAAAATTTGTTAAATCTGAAGGACAGCTTCCTCAGGACTGGAGCCTTACCAATATGCTTATATTTCATATTGAGGGAATAATTTAGTTTTGTGACCATAATCATCCTCCCAAAAACAAATTAATAAAGACAGGAATTTATCTCTCATGATTTTTTTAAACAGAAAATAGAATATTATGCACTATGAAGATTGAAAAGAAATAATATGTTTGGTGACTAGAATGTTCATTTTTACAAGTATGCAATGAATCCAAGTCTCTTAACTGGAATTTAATTTCAGGTAACTTAACTATTAGACTTAGTTTTTAAATTTCATTTTCTGAGTCACCTCACTGAGGTGTTTTTTTTTTTTTTTTTTTGCCATACGTAATTCTTTTCATTCTCATTATTTTACTTTGTAACTTTAAAAACTAATGCAGTAGTTATCTATAATTTACTCTGATCATCACCTGATTTGAGTGTTTCTTTCTGTCATCCACAATTATATACCCAGGAAGACTGTAATACCTTTTATCATTGAAGCAAGATTTCTTCTTCCTCACTATAAAGAAATAAAGACTTGATTGTTCAAGTTATCAAAGATGTTCAGCTGGGCAGTGGAAGAGATAACCACAATGAAATGTTACTTGCTAATGTCAGTACTGAGTTTTTGTGGTCCAGCTTTTCCTCCCCTTAAATTGCTCAAGGAAGCCTGTTATGATACTGGTCCATTCAGACCAGGTAAGGCAAACAGGGAAAATGTATGAGAATAATAATGTTTCCTCCACCCAACCCACTAGGCCGGCAGTTAACCATCTTCAACACTCAGGCGCAAATAGCCATTGGTGGAAAGGACAAAGGACGCCTCTTCCAAGGCCAACTCTCTGGGCTCTATTATGATGGTTTGAAAGTACTGAACATGGCGGCTGAGAACAACCCCAATATTAAAATTAATGGAAGTGTTCGGCTGGTTGGAGAAGTCCCATCGATTTTGGGAACAACACAGACGACCTCCATGCCACCAGAAATGTCTACTACTGTCATGGAAACCACTACTACAATGGCAACTACCACAACCCGTAAGAATCGCTCTACAGCCAGCATTCAGGTAGGCCTTTTTCCAAGTATCAATTGATTCTGCATTTTTATCTTTGAAACATTGTTATCATGGTCATTGTTTTAGGTAGTTAAAGACTTTGAATTACTATGTAAGAAGGATGCCTGCAGATACGCATAGTAATAAGAGCCAGGAGAAGAGGAAGGTGAGGTCATTGCTAAAGAAGTCATAAAAGCCTGCGGCACTCGTGGATTGTTATTCCTATCATATTTGTCACTGAAATGGTACAGCTGTTATTCTAAATGAGCAATGGAATATACTTTCATTATGAAATACTCTTTCCTTTAATTTTATTTTCTTTTCTTTTCAAATTGCAGAAAGGGAAAGGTGGGGAAGGAAAATTTGTTATCATGTGAAAGGCTATATCCTAGTTCAATTTCATACATGTTCTTCAGATGGCTTTGCTATAACATGAATCGTTCATTATTGAGGTCAATGGGTACCATTAAATCAAGGGCAGTTAAAGTTGGAAGTTCAACTAATCCTTGTAAAATGCAGTCTTAATGTTTGTTAGCATCCTCATTAATCATGTGTCAGATTTTTGCCCATTTCGTTTTCTTTATATTTGATCAAGATACTAATGACAGTAGAAAATGTGAATGTTTGAGTTTGCCTAAACAGGAAGTCCTCGGTTTTGTGGCAATTTTTTTCCACTTGAAAGTAATTATATCCAAACTAGGCTTAACACTTTGCTGACTCCCTTGGCATTTCATCAATCTAGTTAGTAGGGAATAGGAGGTTTACTGAGTGATTAGCCTCTAATGCTCCGGCATACCGAAAGACACTCCAATTGCTTGTAAGAAAATTGCCCCTAGCCTAGTTAGTGTTTATAGTAAATTCAGTAGATTATCACTTGTCTCATTTGCTTCTTAGTTTTAAGACATTATCCAGGAACTCGATTGAGTCCTTGACATCACCCTTACGTTGACTCCAATGGACACTGTAAACTTAAAGTCAATCATCAATTAAACCCCCTATGTATTTCCATTCTTCAGAATTAAATGCATGAGGGTTAGGTAATGATAAGCACATTTTCTGTTGTCTTCCTTTTTTTTTTTTTTTTTTACGTTGAGCAGAAGTATCCAGACAGCTCTTTACATCACTCCATAGTAACAATTTTGTTGTATATGCTGACAATGTCATCAGGCCAATCTTATGGGTTTCAAAGGCTTCTAAAAACCTGGTTTGCGTAGCCCTCTTACAGTCACACATGCTATTACATGCATACCTATGCACATGCTCACAAGAAAAGAAACAGCTCTTCTCTACTGATATTAAAGCAATAGCTCCTGACATCCTGCTCTACTCACTGGAAAGAAGATAAAAGGCAATATGTATTTCTATTATGACTCTCTCTAGCTCAAGAGTAGATCTGTTTATTGTTGGTGAAAGGATAGTTCTGTCTGCACAGGTCTTGGCAGACTTATTTTGCTTCTGTCAGAACATATTCTGCCAACTCTGTGGGAAGCAGAGAAGCAAATGGCTTTTTTGACAGAGGAATGGCTGGTCCCGTAGTTCTTTCTAAGGCCAAATTTTCACTGACCTCGAGATGATTTAATGTTACTCAGGGATTCAGAAACCAAGCTGTAGTAATTATCGGTTTTTGGTTTTCCTTCCTGTAGCACGTACATAAATGGGAACTAATTGGGGCAGTTCCTAAACTCTTTTCACAAAGCAAGAAAGTCAGAGCTCTGGGAGAAAAGTAGGGTACAAGGTACAAAATCTTGCTGGTGATTGTAACTCTTAAACATTATAGAATTCACGGCCATATTGGAGGAGGTGAACATCTGGGAATGCCTTCTCCAATAGCCTCTCTCTGGTGTGTGTTTCTTTAACACCAGTAATAAATTGAACTCCATCTACATGCTTTTCCTTCTATCAAATCTATAAAAATGAGTTATATTGGGAGGCCGTGGCAGGCCGATCACAAGGTCAGGAGATCGAGACCATACTGGCTAACACGGCGAAACCCCGTCTCTACTAACAATACAAAAAATTAGCCAGGTGTGGTGGCACGTGCCTGTAGTCCCAGCTATTTGGGAGGCTGAGGTAGGAGAATCGCTTGAACCTGGGAGGCAGAGGTTGCAGTGAGCCAAGATCGCGCTGCTGCACTCCAGCCTGGGTGACTGAGCGAGACACTATTTAAAAAAAAAAAAAAAAAAAAAATAGTTATAAACCTGATGAGACTCTTTGGTTTTAAGGATGTGTAAGAACAACTTCTTGGAGGAAAACCAATAGCCTACTAGACTTGATTAGACTGGGATGACAGATTTAAAAAGCCTTGGATTTTTTGCAAAGAATAATTAGAGGAAATAACTTTGTGCCAAGGGTTTGGGAATTTGTTTTGTTCTTGCCAAGTAGTAATCAGAACTCTGCCCCGTGTTCCATAAAAGCTTAAAAGTCTCAACTTTAAGCCTAGTCTGGTCTTAAACACATTCTGCTGATCACATCAAACCTGTGTCAGGACTGGGGACCCAGCAACTATTGGATTGTAGTCAAGATTTCAGACAATAACCAGACTAGAGAGTGCAGGTAAGGAAGGTCTGTCCTGGAAGCATTAATACTCCTGTGTGACCCCACAATTTTACTTCTCTTAGATGAAGAGGGTTCATAAAGTTCTGATCTCTAGAAGATACTTCAGAAGTGAGTGGGGGGGAAAAGGTAGGGAAGACTGGATGTCATATTCACCAGGCCCATTATTCACTTTTTAAAATCTATATGTGAAATTATACCTAGAACATTTTCCAAATGATACCACTGTTCTGTCCTTTTTTGTTTAAATACCATTGTTAAAGCGAACTTTTCCTACAATGAGACCCTCTAGGAGAAAGAAAATAAGCATGTGAGTCCACCACTATAAAAACCTGCCTGTCTGAAAATCCCCCAGTTCTTTCTTAGAGCATAAATGAAGAAAACGTCCTTTCAGGAGTTCTTTCCTGATGGACCTCCGTTAGTGTTGATTTCGGATCAAAGAAAAACTGTTAAGTGCTTTCAGTGCTGCTCTTAACTGTGGGTGAATGTGGACAAGTAGTTTTTGAGTTGGTATGTCTCTCTAGTGCTATAGCCTCTTTGAAGTAATTGCTGCTTTGATCTTTCCGATTCCATTTTGTTACAGGTAAGAGTGTAGAACTATCTGTGAATGACCTGGATGATGTTGATTTACTCATAGCAATCATGCCCAAGCATCAGGTCTTGATCCTGTATTAAGGAGGCTGTCTCTAGGTCCTCTACTGAATTTTTAAACATTTAAGATGCGCATTGAGGAGGCAGGTGTGTGAGTGACAAGTCTCAAGTAAAGGCCTGGCACTTCATTGGCACTCAATAAATATTTACTGAATACATCTGAAAACAAGACAGGCTTTATTGCCTACTTTAAATAGTCATTTAACAGCTGAAGGTAGCATAGCTTGAGGAAAGGTTTTTGTCCACCGGGATCAGGGTGCTTTGGCCAAATTTGTTTTCAATGCTAAGGCTACAGCATAGCGACTCAATGCATGTACTTGCAGCTAGAATACCTGGATATGAAACTTTGTTGATCATCGTGTTAGCTTACGTGACCCCAGACAAGTCATGTAAGTTCTAGTTAACTACTTCTATGAAACAAACAAACCACCATAAGTTGGTGGTTTAAAACAATTATGTCATTAGGTCTCAAAATTCTGTGAGGCAGAAATGTGGGCACAGTTCAGCAAGGCAATTCTTCTCCCCCATCTAGAAAGTCGACTATGTTCACTCAGCAGCTGACTTTGCCTGAGGATCTGGCTTTACTCACATACCTTGTACTTTGGTGGGTTAACTGAAAAGATGGGACTCAGCAGGGCCCTTTTCCCTCTCCATGTATTAGCTGGGATTCTCCTTGTGGTTTCTCCAGCAGGGTAGATGGGCTCTATTTATGAAGGCTCAGAGCTTCCAGAGAGAGTCCTTCCAGGGGCAGGAAGTAGAGGGTGCCAGTTTTTTAAAGGCTGGGCTAGGAAACTGGCAGTGTCACTTGTACAATATGCTATTAGTCTAAACAGTCATAGAGCTTTCTCAGTTTCAGAGGAGGAGACATAAATCACTTCTCAATAGGAGGAGGAGTAGCAGTAATTTGCAACCAACGGCCTACCACATTATAAAGTAGGGAGGGTGGTATACTTCTAGTGGCTGCTATATGATAGTCGTAAGGATAACTGACTTGATATAAGCAAAATGCCTAAAATAAGTGTACCATTCCGAGTAAGGCTGCATGTGTTTTAACCATTATTATTATATCCTATTTCCCACAATTGGTGTATTAAGTCAAGGTCCTCTCATGCAAATATCTACCTCAGAAAACGGGGCTGTGTCTACTGATAGTAGTGGCTATGGTTTAGAGTAGGGTCTAGGAAGTTTGGGGGAAATAGAGATTAGAAGGTGGATCCAAGTAT